TGCAAATTGTTTTGGTATTTCAATTGAAGACACTGTCAGATTTTTTTACATCTTTTTTTTAGAGACATTTAAAATTCAATGATTTTGACAAGAATGTTAAGGGAAACCTTCAAATGTGGAGCATATTTTTTATATGCCATTAATTATAATTGTCTTAATAATTTCCAGAAAGAGGCATTAAAAATGCACTTTCTCAACAACAAAAATAAATAAATAACTTTTATCTAAATTGGTGTTAATTCTTCATTAAGGAAAAAATACATTTCCTGTATTCAAATATACATGTACCAATATCTGATCCAATTACTGTTAAATAGCAATATAATGGGGAATATACAAATAAATTTATTGCAGAAAATGTTCAGGTACAAGAGTTATGCAATTGTGTTTATTGCTTCAACCAAATTACTGATAATTGTAACTAAATAGACCTTAATTATTAGCTTATGTCAGACGATTATGACACTGATTTTACAACTATTAAGGTCAAGATTTTGTGTATTCCGTAAGTTGTGTAATAAATGGAATACACAAATTCTTGACCTCAATACCAGTATGATTATCAACTGTCATGATATATTACTAAAACTGTGGTCAATTAAGACTGCATTTGAGTGGTTTAATCCAATTAATACTTACACCTTTGAGTGTAATTGTTTGAAAATGGTGGAAGCTGTCCATCATACTGGTATTGTATCAATAATCTCATTTGCCTTATGCAAGATTTGGAATCATAGCATTTAAAATAAATGTGGAATGTGTCCATGGGACAAAGATGATGCCCCCGCTTGCATATCATATAAAATCATAAACGGACATAACTGAAGAACAGTAATAGTGACCCTACCCAAATTTGAACTTGATCCCGAGTTTTGTGGTAATAAGTAATGTGTAGAAGTTTCATAAATTTGGTTGAGGCAAACTTAAGTTAGAGAACGGAAACGAAAAATTCGGCAATTTTTCCATTTGTAAAGGGGAATAACTCTAGAACGGTTAAAGTGACACCACCATAATTCAAACTTGAACTGTATTTTGTGGTAACAAGCATTGTGTATAAGTTTCATAGCATTTGGTTGAGGCAAACTTAAGTTAGAGAACGGAAACGAAAAAAAACAGCATTTTTTTCCATTTGTCAAGGGGCATAACTCTAGAACGGTTAAAGTGACACCACCAAAATTCAAACTTGATCTGTGTTTTGTGGTAATAAGCATTGTGTGTAAGTTTCATAACATTTGGTTGAGGCAAACTAAAGTTAGAGAACAACTTTGGGACGTACGGACGTACGTACAGACGGACAATTAAGAGTAAAACTTAATGCCCCCTCCGCTACGGCGGTGGCATAAAAAGTGTGGGAATTAACACTGATATCAATTCACATCGTGAACCAACTTTTATTCAATGGCTTACAGGAACATAAGATACTGATAGAACACTTTCATTATTCTGACCAACTGCTTAAACTTGATAAATCACATTTTACACATCAAATAATAAATGGCAATATAATATAAATTTTGATTTACAAAGGACCTATATGCAAGTGTATATCTAAAACAAAGAAGTTGTTCGCCCAAACTTTTCTTAATTTAAGGACAAACAACATATTAAAAGTTGGCAGTTGATGATTCAAATGGTGCAAGTCATAGAAACACATAATTATTTTCATGACATGTCTTCAACTTAGAATTTTGCACTATCTCCAATCCGGAGTGATCACATAGATCCAGCATGGCTGAATCAATAAACTGCTTCGCTGAGCGCAGCTGGATACGCCCGCAGAGGTCTAACCCTGAACAGTTGGGGCAAAAATGGACACAATATTCAAGCTTGATACAGGTCTGAATTTGGATTGTAACTAAATATTTGACATACATCTATTATAGGTTTCTGAATAAATGTAGTCAAAGAACTTGAAGTTGGTTATATGAATTGAATTTATATTCAATTAAAGATTTCTTGCTGTTGTGCAATACACTGTGGTGTTGCACAATACTTAGTAAATCTGTTGTCCGACTATAAACAAATAAAATTTATAAAATTCTAAAGGGAGCTTACATCAATAGATATAAACACTTCACCAAAGTTTCATACGAATTGCTGAAAGCATTTTTGAGTTTTTGTCTGAAAACTGGAAAATCCCCCCTTTTTTAATGAATAAACCCCATAATTCGGAAATGTAAAATCTAAAATTTATAAAATTCTAAAGGGAGCTTACATCAATAGATATCAACAATTCATCAAAGTTTCATGAGAACTGCTGAAAGCATTTTTGAGTTATGGTCCGAAAACTGGAAAATCCCCCTTTTTTTATGAATAAAACCCCATAACTTGGAAACGTAAAATCTAAAATTTATAAAAATCCAAAGGGAGCTCATGTCAATAGATATAAACAATTAACCAAAATTTCTTGCAAGTTGGTGAAAGCATTCTTGAGTTATTGTCCGAAAACTGGAAAATCCCCCTTTTTTTAATGAATAAAACCCCATAACTCGGAAACGTAAAATCTAAAATTTATAAAAAACGATAGATATAAACAATTCACCAAAGTTTTAAGCAAATTGGTTAAAGCGTTTTTGAGTTAATGTCCGACATGTTGACGACGGACGGACGGACAGACGGACGTACAACGGTACACCATAATACGTCCCGTAAACGGGCGTATAAAAACAGACCAAAAATTGACCAATGAACCATGAAAATGAGATCAAGGCCAAATGATACCTGCCAGACAGACAGGTACATCTTAAGATTATTCCATACACCAAATATAGCTGACCTATTGCTATTAGTATTAGAATAAATTGCTTCGCCGGGCGATGCTGGATACGACCGCAGAGGTCCAACCCTGAACAGTTGGGGCAAAAATGGACACAATATTCGCGCTTGATACAGGTCTGAATTTGGATTGTAATTAAATATTTGACACATAATAGGTTTCTGACACAGAATAACTGTAGTCAAAGAACTTAAAATTGGTTATATGATTTGAATTTATATTCAATTTTTTGCTTTTGTGCAATACACTGTGCCTGTGCGAATTGACCCCCCCCCCCCCCCCCCCCCCAAAAAAAAAAAAAATTAACCCCTTTTTTTTTTGCTTTTGTGCAAAACACGATGCTATTGCGTATTGACCCCCTCCCAATCTTTTTTTTGGTCATAATCTCAATTCAAATTACCAATAGAGTTTGCAACCATAATTACCCATTTAAATACATCATTAAAGTATTAAATAGATACTTTAAAAGCAGTGTAAGAACCCCAAGAATTCAATTTTATTAAAATAAAACTGTTTAATTTTGGATCCTTTGTGGGCCAATTTGAAAACACGTTTAGATTCAGCATAGCAAAGAACCCCAAGAATTAAACTGAACCCTTTGGACCTTAATGTGGACCAATTTGAAAACAAGGCCCAAAACTAAATATCTAAACACACCGTTAGATTCAGCATATTAAAGAACCCCAAGAATTCAAGACTTTGAATTAAACCCAATTGAAATTGGTCAAGAAATAAAAAATTATACAAAGTATTAGAAAAGTATTGTTTTTGGCCCATTTTTCCCAAACAGTTATAATTAGGGCCATATGATAATCACCAAAATCAATCCCAACCTTCATTTTTTGGTACGGAACCTTGTGGTACAATTTCATAGAGATCCACAGACTTATACTCAAGTTATTATCCAGAAACCAGAAAATCCTAGGTTTTTTTGGCCCCTAGTTCCTAAATGGTTTTGGCCATAACTCCAAAATCAATCCCAACCTTCCTTTTCAGGTATGGAACCTTGTGGTACAATTTCATACAAATCATTGACTGTCCTGAAACAAGAAAAATGCTTGTTTTTGGCCTGATATACCTAGTCAGTTACGACAATAACCCCCAAAATCAATACCAACCTTCCGTATATGGTATGGAACCTTGTGGTACAATTTCATAAAGTTCCATACACTTATACTCAAGTTATTGTCTGGAAACCAAATGTCTTCAGACAACGACAACAAGGGAAATATGACAGACAGAAACGTTGTAACATATAAAGGTGTCTGCATAAAAGATATAAAGCATTCAGGTCCTCTACCTCTGAAATATAAAACTTTAAACAAATAGTTTACGCCACAGCCTGATATTAAGCCCTATGTCTTGCATACTGAGACTTTCGTCGCAGGCGAGACATAATATTATCATTCAAAGGCAACAAGTCCTATAAGGGGTCAACTGACAATTTCTGCCAAGTTGACTTCTATGTAAATCATGTTGTTCTGGTCATTTTTACTGTTTAAATTTTCTCTCCAGTATTTGTTTTACTTTTCAAGATAATTAACCACAATTTCTATTTGAGTTACAGAACAGAGAATAATGGTAAAAAAATGAATACAGGAAAAAGAGCAAAAAAGATAATAAAGAATAAGAGAATAATGGGGTGCAAAAAATAAATTAAAGAATAACTGTGGAAAATAAAGAATTAGGTAATATAATACTGATTATAGATTTGAACAATGTACAGAATAAAGAAATCATCTAATTACTGATATGTAGTTAATAGTAAAATAATTTTTATGAGAATTTTACAGAATAAGAGTTATGTTAAAAGAAAAAAAAATTTAAAATAAAGAATACAGAAATGAAGGACCCCCCAAACCAGACCCTCATATCTTTAACTCATCCTGTGTAAATTTCAGAAAATAAGGCATACACAATTTTTTAATTAATGAACAAATCTACAGGCAATCAGACTAACCACTGCTAACAGGACAAAAACTTTCTGTCTTTTTCATGTGTAGGAATGACTCGAATATGAATGATCAATGAAACAAACCTTGAGGTTTTTTATCTTAATAATTTAAAAAAAAATAATTCTAACAACATGAACAGTAGGGTAATTTACAATATATGTTATTAAGATAGGACATGCTGGTTTAGTAGAGTGGCTAAGCTGTTGTATCATTCATTACCAGTAACCATTTATATAATTTAAACATTAGTCATTGCGTATTTATTTCTTATATGAGACTTGAAGTTCTCTTCCTTGGACCCAATAGCCATTGAGACAACTGATTGCTGTTTCTGCTTCTTCCCAATTTGTCATTGTCACAAAGCCATAGCCTTTACACTTTTGACGCTGACCATCATAGATAACATTCACTTTCTGAACATTTCCATATGCACTAAATAACTGATATAGCATTTGTTCGTTTGCATTGTCACCAATGTTATAGACATAGAGAATGTATGGACCTGCACCAACTGGGGGAGCATTGTAATTAGAGCCTCCTATTGGATTATATCGTGAGAATCTGTTACCCATGCTTCTCATTGGCCCATGAGGGTATCGACCAGCCATTGGAGGAGCTGGTAAAAACTGCACAGGTGGTGGTCGCACCTTTTTGGCATTGTCATCTGCCAGTTTAACTAACATTGGCATTTCTCCACCTTCTGGAACTTTACCATTCATTGATGCAATAGCTTTTTCAGAATCCTCTTTCAGATTATAAAGAATAAAACCAATCCCTTTGGAAAATCCAGTTCTTTCATCAATAATTACTCGACATGAAACAATATTTCCAAACTGACCAAAGTGTTCTTGTAGCTGTTCACTTTTCCAATGTCTTGGAACATTTGTGATGTAAACATTAGCTTGTTTGATGTCTTCACCCCCTTGCCTTGAATACGCAACTTTTATTCTCTTATTCTGTAGTTGTAATCCATTTAGGGATTCAATAGCTCTTGCTGCATCGACTGCACTCTGATAGTCAATAAAGCCAAATCCATAGCTGTATCCGGTTTGTTTATCTCTAACAATTTTGGAATTTTTAATTGGACCAATGCTTAAGAACATAGAACGAAACTCTTCATCCGTCAGGGATTGAGGCAAGTAATTTATTATCAAATTTGTCTGCTGTGGAGATGAATTCTGCTGTTCCATTTCTGCCATTATTCACTTCCATATTGGAGAAAAAAAATTAAATGAGGCAAAAAAAATGCAAAAAATAAAATGTAAAAAATAAACTAAATAAAATAAAATGTTAAAATAAAAATAAAATAATAAAATATCACTGTAAAATTAAGAAAAAAAATATGTATTATTATTATGTATATTACACATTTATACAGAAAAGACAAACATGTCCAATAACAAGTGAAAATCTGGCACAGTGAAAAACTGGCAATGCCAACTGATGCTCCTCAAACTGCACATTAATACTATATTGAGAGAGATTTTCATTTCATGGGATCTGATGCTTTGTGTAAAGTGTGTGCCACACTCTGTGCATGTTTAGCAACAACTCTTTGTGGGGTCCCTAGGTGGCCTGATGTAAACAAAATTTCTGTCCATATCCGATACCCTAATTTTCCAGTGGCAGTCAAAAGTTCCCCAACATTCATACTGGACGTGGACGGCCTCTATTTCAGGACTTACCGATTGTATTTATTGTTAATATGTTCTCATCCTGAACATGCATGAAATATTTGTCAATGGATGTTAAGCAACCAACAATCAATCAAGCAATCATTTCATGGGTTGACCTTTGACCTTTTGACCTGAAAAATCTGTTTCAAATCAATCGTCTTCCCCTTTCTACATGTCCTATAGCTTCCATAATTACAAGGAGCATAAACACGGTTTTCTTCTGCACAAACTTGAGAGATAATATGTCTCGCCTTTATATACTTTTGATAATATAATGCAAATGCTGAAATTAAAATGGCAATACTTTAACATGTAAACTATGCAAAACTTTCAAAGTCAATGACCATGACCAAAGGTACAGAGCAAATTTCCCTCCATGGAAATAAGAAATGCCAAAGCTAATACAATAGCATACCAAATACCATTGACTTGTCATAAATGGATCATCTGAAGATGTGCAAATTCTAATGCAAGGGCATACCAAATATCATTGAATTACCATTAGTGGTTCCCCTTAAACTGACCTTATAGCAACCTAAGTTAAAGTTTCAAAGTCAATAGACCATGACTGAGGGCAAAGGGCCAAATAACTTCAAATGGAAAAGAGATGTGCGAATGCTTATGCAACTGCTTCTCATAAAATTTGATGGGTAATGGCTATTTAAAAAGATAAACCTGAACAATTCTATGAAATCACCAATAAATTTCATGCAGAAAGGGATAAAATAAAAAATTCCTATTGACCCTTCCTCCAATACCCCATACATGTATTTCTTGAACAGCCCTCTACTTATTGCTTTCTTTGATAAATATTTAACCCCATTAATAATAACAGTTTTGTCTTCAAACATAATTCTGACATACCAACAATTTACTTAAACTTGCCAATTTTTGTTTCTTTTCAATAACGGTAAAGCTGCTGTGACCATGTATGATGGCTGTTTGTTTTTCAATAAATCTAACGTTTTCTCTAAATATGAACTGTTAACACAGATTTAAAATGTATGTCTCGAATTAATCACAATAAACTAACTTTCATTGATGCTGCTGACATCAGAAACAGCAGGACTAAATCTCACTTCATTTTCTTATAAAGAGGTGATACAAGAAGTTTAAATATATATGAATTTTGTAGGCTGTCAGAGTTCTGCTAGCATCTCTTTTTGGGGTCATCAACCAAAATTCTTATAAGAGGGATAATTCATGCATCATCACCTCAAATTTTGGAAGAGACTATGTCTTTATGATGTGCCATCTGTAAGGATTATTTATTATTTCATGTGTATTTCGTCAGTTTTTTTTTCTTTTTCAGTATTATAAAGAGTGAATGTGTTCATGGTGTTTGATGCTAGTATGGTGGTCATTAATCATAATTCTTAATAGGCGTAACTAGATATCATTAAGATGGGAGCCATCTCTGTGGGCCCCGCTGTGAATAATGTGTGGTAAAAAATTTGTATCTTTATCAGTGGACATGGGGTTGTCAACTGAAACCAAAGTTTTTGACCTTGACCTTTGATCTAGGAAGTTGTACATAAATTATGACACACCCTCTGGTGTTGGTTAATATACATGTCAAGCATAAACTTTGAAATCATAACGGTTCTCTAGATATAGAGCGGACACAATTTGTTAGGGACGGACGGACGGACGGACAGACAGACAGACAGACTGATCACTATAGGGCGTCCGCCATTTGGCGGGGCCCTAATAATTTATCATTTCCTGCATACTTTTAATTAATTAGATTTTGTATTGCCTTCATTGATTTAACTACAATGTACCGGTGTACAATTTTTAGTGAAAACAGCCAGGCTATTAGTTTTCTTCTTTTAACTGTATCACTTTTTTGTCACTTCATGGCTTTTAATATCTGACTATTCTCTATGAGTTTTGCTCTTTGTTGGTATTTGATGAATAGTCATTTATTGGCATTCACACCACCTCTTATTATAATAATAATCACCATGATCATTGTCAGTCAATAGCAATGCTGTACATGTGAGCAAAACTTTGTAATATATTCTAAGAATGACTTATGAAAAGTTTAAATCATCACTTGATATCAAAAGAGACAATTTCTGAATTAATTCAGTAAGAAGATACATGTACATGCAGAACCAAGGATTTGTATAGTACTATACAAATCCTTGGTAGAACCAAGATGACAGATCTTTGCAAAGTTGTGGTAATAGATTATTTTTGCCCACAGGCAAGGTGAGCTTAAGATCCTTTTCCTATCAAAATTATATCCTATATTATTTACCTGTGTAAGAAAAAAATCTTTGGACTGTGAAATACTGAAAAATAAAATAAAACAATATGTACTTTTATTTTTCTGAATTAAATTAAATGAAAGAATTTATATTAACTACAAATTACATATATAATGAGAATATATATATATTTTTTTCATTTTCATTAAACATACATGTGAACCTCCCGACTGGAGTACAATAACCCCGTTTTCAGGGGTCTCCTCCCGTCCTCCCGTTGAAGAGAAAAAAATCCAGTGTATGAAATATTTCATGAATGAAAACTTTCAGCCGCCATATCCGGTGTAACTGACATTACCTGAAGTTAAATTTTACCAGTAAATCAAAGAACATGCATAATCATATTTAAATAATAAAACACATGTGAACAATACAGATTTTAGGTATAAATCACAAACAATACACCAGCCACCAGGAGTAGTGACCCTCACACTTATATTTTTTTGTAAATTTAAAATCTACACAAGACTAGTGTCAGAGTTAGATATTGGTTCAGGTAAGGTTTATGGTTAAGGATAGTTAAGTATAGGCTATAGCTCTAATAGAGCTATATGGATTGGGATAATTAAAGTTAATGAGTGTCAGGGGCGGATCCAGCCATTTATAAAAGGGGGGGGGGGGGTTCCTAACCCAGGATAAAGGGGGGGAGGGGTCTAAGTAGATTCCTCCGATATCGGAGCACCCGTGTCACATTGACATTGAGAAAATATGTCTGTATATATACTTGTTTAATTTTGTATTTTATAAGCGTCAGCTGAGCTGGTAGATATCATTGTGTAAATTCAAATTAAATTAGTTGATTTGATTTATAAGAAATAGATTGTCACTGTGCGTATATTGTATAGAGTCTGTTAATTTTCAGTTTGCGGGTTATCAAGGGAATTTGGTCCGATTTTTTTCTGACTATGTCCCCATTAAATTACCTCCCCTTAGCTAATAAAGGATTTGACAATATATAAATTCAGTTTACAAAGTTTGGTTGTGGTCAGTATAAAAATGTCTCGAAATATACAAAATGATCGTGTTGACCAGTCGACAATTTTATAGGATACTGCTTATTTATAATACACTGATGCATGTGCTCCCTCCAACAGGCGGAAGTTACGGTTGGATAAAGGAAAGATTTTACTGTTGTGAATGTTTTACTCGACCCAAGGATTTGTATAGTGATCTCACAATACAAATCCTTGCTCGACCTCATTTATCATTCCACGACCTCTTAAACCTCGGTCCTTTGTGTTAAATTAAAACGCAAAAGAAAAGATCACTTCTATATTTGATGGCCTTTCTTGTTTAAATTTAATTTTACACCGGGGTCATTTTCAATAGTCTGTCAGTCCAAGGATTTGCTCTCACTATACAAATCCTTGGTCTGCCAAAAATGAATAAGAAGGATATAATAACCAGAACCAATTTTTTTTTTATGAATAATTGGTAGAATAATCTTTCCTGCTGTAATTTATGCGGTTTTCTATTAATCGTGGCAATCTTCCGATCATCGGTAAAATTAACACTGATCACTTTTGTCACAGCAATGGAACTCATATTGGTAGTTTACAATCTGATCAAAGCCATACTAACAAATCTCAAGGTCCTTTTCGGGGTCGTCTTTAAATAAATAATCGAAATACCACTTACATGTATTCTGAATCAAAAATTTCCCCAAAACTCTCCTATACAGTTATGACTTATATTGTTTTATGCACTTTTTTATGCATGACCGGGCCGGATCGACATGGGCTGAACTATAAACGAATAAATGTCAAAATCAAACTTGATCTAGGCATCTATTTTGCCATTAGAAACAACATATTTACGAGACTTATAATACCAAACAAGATCTACGACCAAACCATTGACTGTCTCGGAGTCCTAATTTAAGGAGTAATTGTCCATTAATAATGATTATTATCAAGTTTTGCATTTTGGCAAAATCTATTGCAGAGAGAAACTGTGAACAGCAAAAAAAGATCAGTAGGGCAAGATTAACAAAAAGGATATTTTATTTTGAACTATCTTCTAGTCTATAATAAACTCATATATAGATCATGACCAGGATTATAATTCTGTATGTCAGACGCGCGTTTCGCCTACAAAAGACTAATCACTGACGCTCGAATCAAAAAGCTAAAAATGCCGAAATGCGAAGTCGAAGAACATTAAGAACCCCAAATTCTGAAAGTTTTTGCCAAATACAGCTAAGGTAATCTGCACTTTGCCACCCTGTTTGCATAAATAACACTTTTAAATAATTTTATGAATCATGATTATAATAATGAAGATTCGGAGAGAGCAGTTTCTGATTTTATGAATATTATAAATGTCGTTGCTTCAAAGGCAAATAAATATTTTTCACAATAAATCATCCAAAAAAAGAAGACCTAATTGTAAAAGGTTTGATTCTGATCTAAGTGTAAAGAGGAAAACTCTTGTATCAAAAGGTGAATTACTAAGTTGTCAAAATTTCCGTTTGATCCTATCATCAGAGGTTCATATTATAAATGCTACAGAGAATATAATAAATTGCTCAAATATAAAATGCGCACATTTAAACAGACTATCCTAAATAGTCTTGATAATTTAAGAGATTCTGATCCAAAACAATACTGGAAACTTATTAGTTCTTTGAAGGAATCTACAGATGATAGTAAAGACAAGAGTGCACACGCTGAAATGTCTCGCCTGCTTTACTGACCATTGATTTTATGTTGAAAATCTTAAAAGAGAAAGGTTTTATTAAAAGCATCCCATAAACTCAGGTCAGATAAATCCTGTCAGACAGATATATACACAATTTTCTTATACACAACAAATAGTTGACCTATTGCTTATGATAATTGAAAAACAGACCAAAAACACAACAACTTAACATTGACCAATGAACCATGAAAATGAGGTCAAGGTCAGATGATATATGCCATACAGATATGTACACCTTACAATCATTCCATACACCAAATATAGTTGACCTATTGTTTATAGTACTTGAAAAACAGACCAAAACACAATAACTTAACATTGACCAATGAACCATGAAAATGAGGTCAAGGTCAGATGATGTACATGTATGTCATACAGATATGTACACCTTACAATCATTCCATACACCAAATATAGTTGACTTATTGTTTATGGTACTTGAAAAACAGACCAAAACACAAAAACTTAACATTGACCAATGAACCATGAAAATGAGGTCAAGGTCAGATGATATATGCCATACAGATATGTACACCTTACAATCATTCCATACACCAAATACAGTTGACCTATTGTTTATAGTACTTGAAAAACAGACCAAAACACAAACACTTAACATTGACCAATGAACCATGAAAATGAGGTCAAGGTCAGATGATACCTGCCAGACAGACATGTACACCTTACAATCATTCCATACACCAAATATAGTTGACCTATTGTTTATACCCAGCAAACACACAACATTTAAAAAACATTTTTGAAATGTCATATGGACGTCTCTCACAAAATATTTCAATAAGATATCATTTAAACATAAAAAAAATGTTTATTTTATTGTTTTTGAAATGTTTTATTTCTAACATTTAAGTAAAATGTTTTTACAACATTAACAAAATATTATTTGCTAATATCTTTGATTCATGTTCTCAAACATTGTTCTAAAATATCCCGTAGATATATTTATAATATAAAAAAATAATATTTTCTTCAATTGGTATTTTATATTTTAGCAACATTTAAAGTAAATATTTTCCAAATATCCAAAAAACATTCTGCAAAAAAATGTTTTACAGAAAATATAGTTTTGCTATTTGCATAAAATGTTTTATAACGTAAAATTAAAATGTTTTACACAAAACATCTGAAAAATATCAGCTAAATGGTTTCTATAAAATATTCTGACATACACATTACTTAATAGTCTTACTGATATTTTATTCAACATTTTACGGATATAAAAATAATATTTTATTTAAACTTTATTCAAAACCCCACAAACAACGTTTTGTGGAATAAGCTCTTTTTTTTCAGGATAAGATATAGTACTACATTTCATCAATATCATGACAAGCAAGATACTATGGTTGAAATCCTTAATTGATATCTTGAAGATCCTTGAAGTCAGATTTTATTCCTTCTTATATTAAAATTCAAAAGAGTCAACATTAAATTAAGCAATAATGTATTAATAAACAATCACCTTTCTTTAATGTTTATTCATTTCGTTCGTGTATATTTTAGAAATTAAGAAATGAAAACTGTAACTGTACTAAGTTCAATTTTCGTATCGTTTATATGCCTTACGGAAAACCGACCTTTTCCGGAATCGACTTTTGTTTTATCACCGGAAATGATTTTGAAATTTGAATTTTGAAACGAAGACAGGATATCAACAAAGAGAGCCAAGAAAATTGTTTGTTACGCGATATATACTCACTCGGTAAGAATGATTAATCTGTTAAGATGAAACTTGTGCATTCATTGTGTGTGTTCAATCATAATCGGAACCAAATTACATCTGTTTCTGGAGGTGCGGATCAAGGTTTTGAAAAAAGGGGGGCCCCTGCCCAAGGCAAGCAAACGTTTGGAGTGATACTTGTAAATAGTCTATACATTTATCTTATAAGTAGCTCCATAAGGGGGTCGGGGCCCCTAAATCCGCCACTGTTCAAGCATCTACGTACACCAATTATGAATTTGTTCATTGATATAAAAAAATTATAAGGATATGTGGCTTGTGTGTTTGATTGCCAATACACCTTATCACTATTTGTCCGCCATTACTGGCCATGGACATCACAAAAGTTCCCGTAAAATGTTGACGTCATATTAGAAAATATTTGGCACCACAATTGAAAGTAATACACCTTATCGCTATTTGTCCGCCATTATTGGACATCACACAACTGTCACAAGTTCCCTTAAAATTTTGACGTCATCATAAAAAATATCTGATGCCACAATGGAAAAGTGATTGTTTTTTTATGTCAAAAGTTCAAGCAGGATAGATTCTCGGGTCAAGCGGGAATAGCGATAAGGTGTATTATTGTATGACGTATGCTGACGTAAAAAGTTCAAGCGGGACAGATTTCCAAATACTGAAATAGCGATAAGGTGTATGAGACAGCTATCCACCAGAATTTAAATAACTTGGATAAAAGAAATTATAGGTCACTGTACGGCTTTAAAAACTGAGAAAACCAATACCATATAGTCCACTTTGAAGCCTTGACAAACAAATGTTAAATTTTTCTCAACACAATTGAAACAAAACAACTAACTGCCTACATTAAATACACATTATGAAAAAGAAATTTGACAGACTTAAACCAACAACAACTATTGCAATAAGCATGACTCAATACCTTGTTTCCGAGGCACACAAACAAGTTACAATAACACTAATATAAGCACCATTTGAATATGGAGATTTTTTTTTTCTAGTAAAAACAGTGTATGTATGTATTTGCAAAACAGTAAATTAAATTTCCCTTAACAGCTTAATGAACATTACAAAGACTATGTAAGACTTCAGTACAAGCAAGATAATATAAACTGTTGCTTAAAATTATATTTATTGCTTCATACACACAATGTACATACTATGTATCTTTTATTTTTTTAACAGGAGCTAAAAGAAAAGCCACAAAGGACAAGTTCAATATGCAGGTTTACAATTTGGAAGTGGCGCAGGTTCTTTGGAATGTCTACAACCTTTCAGGAGATTTTTTTTTTGAAGTAAGATTTTCATACAGAATTACTGTTATTCCATATTTAATTCAAATATTTAGCATAAACAATGCATTACATTCAAGATTAAGGGCATACAATACAGAAAAGATATCTGGATATTTGAATAAATTATTTTTTTGTGACAAAATAGAAACAAGTCATGCAAGTTATTTGTTTAAATCAATCTTTTAGTCCAACAGTGTGCTTTCATAAACAACATATTTGCTTTCCTTTGAAGTATTTCAAATACATATAAACAACTCATTTAATGACATCTGTGTGTTTCTCGGAAGTTAAGTTATATTATTATCATCATTGCGAAAACAATGCGTAACACTTCGATAAGTTGTTATGTGCCTATAGTATACTTCTAGGACTGTATCATATGCCCTTACATGTAGATT